AGTAGTCAGTCAGTTTAGCGTTTGTCATTGTAACAAGAAGTAGCATAGTCCAGATCCTAAGTAAGAACGGAAACCTATATTATAGTTACCTTATATTATCTTTATGAACCACCCTCCCTTTAATCTAGACTGTGGTCCCCAAGTCTACTTCTACAGAGTCTTCGTTGTGCTTGTACAAGGATGTTAGTTTAATTCCTAGTCTCCTATTTGATCTAACGAGGACTCTGTCTCCTCCTTGGAAATTTCTATTTCGTTTAACCTTTGCATTTGTATATTCTGTGCTTTAAGGACTTTATCTCTTATTTCTGCGTCAAGCTCTGGAGGAGAATGTATTGTCCGGTTGTATTCTATAGTTGCCTGAAGTATTAGTTTGGTTGTGTCAGCAATATTTCTTCCAGCTCTCAGACATCTTGCGATTTCAACAAGAGTACTAAGGAATCTCTCTACCTGTTGTATCTCACCCACACGCAACGGAATAGGTGTCTCTCCAAGTACTTGCTTCTGAGGGTGCCGATCATACTTTTCTTTTTGAAAATTCTGCAATTTGCAACCACTTCGTTTGCAAGTTGGGTCATCTTTGGAAAAAAATAATCTTGGAGAATCTGCTCGCAAACATAATAACAGTCCTATCTGAGGCCGATCTACTTTCTTCTATTACTATTTGGTTCCGAAAGCAATTGACTGGTTTGTCTGTTGATTCAACAGTGTGAGTGACAACACGCTATGTATCGTTGCAATATCGGACTGTGCATCTTCCTCCAAAGCGTGGATGTTTTGTCGTGACAATGGATCTGCAACGTAATTTTCCTTCCCTGGCTTGTAAAATATTAGAGCATTATGCTCGTCAATGTAAGCCTTCCACCGCCTAATTTTTGCGTTAGGGTTACGGTAAGAGACTGCGATTGTCTGGGGCTGGTGGTCGGTAAAAATATTTAGATTTTTTACTCCGTACAAGCAATTTCTGAGGTTCTTTAGAGGCCACACTATAGCGAGCAACTCCCTTTCGTTTGTAGCGAAATTCAGCTCTCTATCTTTTAAAGTCCTAGATATCATAGTTATGGGTTTTTCGTCTTGAGACAAGACTGCCCCTATACCAAAGGACGAAGCGTCAGTTGTTAGTTCAAATGGCTTCTTATAATCGGGATAGAGTAACATTACATTTTCGGATGCAAGAACCTCTTTAAGCCTCCTGAATGCCTCGCATTGTTTCCGGTCGAAATGTACTGGTATTTTCTTTGACTGGCCAGCGCTAACTTCTCCGTTTTCTCCCTTTAAAATATCACTTAAAGGCATCTGCAATAACTTACCAATCCAAGAAAGGACATTGAATAGTATGGTTGGTTGTTCATAGTTATAGAATAATGTTCATAGAATAGCTTCTACCTTGTTAGGGCATGTAGTAATACTACCGCGTGACACAACAAAACCTAAGAATTCTACCCTGTCTTTAAAGAAATTGGTTTTTTCTCGCGAGACCATCACGTTGGCATGGTATAATTTGTCCAAAACCCATGCTATGTGTTTTTCATGATCATCCATGTTTTCTGAGAAAATTATGACATCATCGGCGTAAACGTAGTGTTGATTAACATTATTATACTTGTAATTCTATATATAAGTTGTTATTTATGGATTGTTTGAAATTGAATTGTTAGTCATTTAAGTTAATATATTTGAATTGAATTGTTAAGCTTAAGTCGTCTAATTGGAATCAATGTACTCATATCTTGCGCCACTGTACGTACAAATGAGTGGTTTAATGTAAACGGTATCAATCCAGCCGTCAGGCTAAGCATCGCGCCTTATGTTGCCAAAAATAAACATTGTTCTCTTCTCTTGTGACCACCGAGCAGGGACCTCGGGAATGTTTTGTTTTGTTTTAAAAACAATTTTTGAATATAATTTAAACATATGTTCGCGACAATTAGTTGGCTGCTCGCTTTGGTTATTCGCTTGTTGAACGCTGGACCGTTAATGGACATAAGGTAAATCGATGAATCTTCATCCGATGACCAGGTAACCGTGTCATAGCCTATGCATACGGACATATATGTGCATTGTTAGCACTGCGCAAGTAACACATATGTACTATATGTACATTAAGTTGTGGCTAATTACATACAGTTATCAGCACATACAACAAATTGTCGCATATAGTGGCGCATGCATCTAGTTTGGCACAGGAAATATTTGTGTCAAGTGTAAAACGGTAATTTGAAGTAATTATTTCGTGCTCCTTTCGTGCCCTTTGCCCTCTTGTCGTTTTGTCTTCACACTTAAACGCTGAGTGCAGTGATTGTCTTCGTTAGTTGTTTTTTTCTGCAACAATTCGGCTTGCGTGAGAGTAAGGCAATTAATTCCCTTGCTTGCATTGCTTAAATTGGCCGTCGCTTATCGCGTACGATAATTAGGCAAGCCGACTCTCTTCGAAAACTCTCTTCGTCAACCAAATAATAAACTCAGCTGACAGCTGAAACTTGCTTTTAGCTGCATTTGTTTTTATATATGCACAGTGGTCTGTGCCATTAGAAAACGCGCAACATAATTAATTAAACTGAAAATAATTAACTCGCAAATATGTCAACCAACAAGTACACGACACTTTGTCAAATCCTGGCTGGCTTATTGACCAACTTATCAAGTTGTTCTCGAAATTAGAGAAGGTAGAAGATGATATTCATCGCTTAAAAGAAGCTTTCGTGAAAAAGACAAGTACACCAAATCCGATCGAAATATAGTGCCGATTGGAAATACTAAACTCGTATATATCAAGGGCCATGGATCTTCAGTCAGATATTGACTCCATTGATCCAGATAATACAAATCGAACTTCATTGGAGGAAACTTGTATTAGTGCCAAAGCGCTATACTTATCTGCATTAAATGCACCGCCGGCAGTTGACACATTGCCTCCTGCTGCGCAACATTCTTATTTACCAAAAATGAAGCTACCAAGATTTAGTTGCAAACATGCAGACTATAAACATTTTATAAGCCTTTTTAAAAGTTTGGTAGATTCTGACCGCTCACTATTAAAGATTGAGAAGTTTAACCATCTTCTCTCTTGTCTGTGCGATGAAGCCTTAGGGACAGTTAAAGCCTTTCAAATGACCGGCGATAACTATTCAAAGGCATTAGAATGTCTAGAGCGGGTATACGACAACAAATGCTTAATATTTTTTGACACGTTAGCACAGTTGTTTGACGTTCCGTCTATGGGCAAGCCCTCAGCTTCGGCTTTGAGGTCAATCATAGACACCGTATCAGCCATTTTTGAGTCACTCCTGTCTTTGGGGAATGAAAAACAAATTGTCAATGCACTGTTGATACACATCGTCTTGTCGAAAGTAGACAGTTACACAAAGGCTAGATACGAAGAGCAGCTCGACTATGATAGTTTACCACTGTGGTCGGAGCGTGTCACTGTACTCAACAGGCGATACCAATACTTGTCTGCTGAAGAACCCTCAAAGTCAAAAGGCAAGCCAAGGTTTGAGTTTCCGTCGAAAAAGGCCACTAAAGCATCGTTTTCATGCTCCAAGGGCGAACAAAAATATTCTTTTGTCAAGCCGATCACCATATCGCGAAATGTCGAGGTTTCAGTGCGACTCCTGTTTTAGAGGTTTGCTTTTGTAAAAAGCAACCAATTATGCATTAACTGCTTGCATGTACGTATTCAAAGTGTAGGGTTTGTTCTCGTCTGCATAACACTTCGCTTCATAGGTATCCAGACCCTGCTCAAATGCATAATGCTGCTTCTAATCGAGAACAGCAGTCGTAGGCTCTCAATAACTTGTCCGTTGTTAAAGCTTCTTCGCATCCTGTACACGTTAATCACGCTTCATCTGAAATCGAGCACGTCATTCTTGCAACAGCACTAGTGCATTTCCGTGACCGCTTTGGCCAAATTCACGTTGCTAGAGCTTTGTTAGATTCAGGCTCACAGGTGAATTTTATGACAGTAGACTTTGCCCAATCTCTGCGTATTTCCAGACAAAAGAAGTGTCTTACTGCCACATAAGTTGGCAAATCTAGTCTGGTGGCAAAAAGCGAAGTCAAGTTTTTTCAAGAGTCAACTCTTACCAGTTCAATGCTGATTTTTGGGTGCTTAGTTCAATTTCTAAAAAGAAGCCCGATTGCGATTTGTCAAGCAATCAGTGGAAAATTCCAGCCAATATCGAACTACCCGACCCCGAGTTTTACAAGCCCCAAAGAATTGATTTGTTGCTTGGCGCTGACTCATCATTCGACCGTACATAACAGTACTAGTCAAATGAAACTTGCAGACGGTGTTCCATTATTGCAGAAAACCCTGTTTGGATGGGTAGTATCTGGGCGCTTCAAGAACTTCAATACGCGAAGTCCGTCTTGTTGTGCAGTTTCTTACTCTGTTGAAGACACTAAGTTTGAGGCTCTAGTGGAGCGTTTCTGGGAATTAGAAGAAATTCGCAACGTTCGAAAATCCGCTAAATTCCCTTCTGAGCCATGTGGTCGTTTGGAAGTCAGTTGGCCATTTAAAACCGATCCTCAGGTCTTAGGCTCATCATTTGACATTGCCAACCGACGATTTATATCTCTAGAACGCAGAGTTATAAAATCCCCCTCGCTCCAAAAGATGTATGTGGATTTTATGAACGAATAAATCGAGCTTGGGCATATGACTGCCATAGGAATAAAAATCCCCCCGGGTCCACACTATTTCATACCGCATCAGTGTGTCCTGATAGCAGTCCCAGAAAACTTAGAGTTGTTTTTGACGCTTTGTGCAAGACAGCTTTGGGCCATTCATTAAATGATATTCTTATGGTGGGACCGACTATACAGAGGGAATTATATTTGTCGCTTATTCGATTTTGTTTAAATCGCTTTGCCATTACGGCAGATATAACCAAAATGTATAGACAAGTGAGTAGAGCTGTAAAAACATCGATGTTCACCAACATCGATGTTTTCGATATTTTAAAACCAAAACATCGATACTATCGATGTATTCAAATAAATTATTTTAATTTATTCTTTATTTATGAGATCAATATTTTTGTTGAGAAATATCAACTTATCTACGATTCCGCTTTTTAAGGAGCTTCGGCGTTGAGTAATAATTTGGCCAGCTTTACTAAAAGTGCACATGATGTGGCTGGTACACACATTATCTGCCTGGCTACAGATTTTAATGATTCTTCACTGCTTGCCTAAAATAAAAAATAAATATATGGTTCACTATAAAAAGAAGATTCAGAATAATTACCTTCCAAAATTCTAATGGGTCGCATTCCTCGGATTCGTTTGGTTTTTCCAAATATTGCATAATCGCAATTATGGCATCTGACCGATTTGTAAGTGCTTTAGCAGCAATTTTTTCTTTTAAGAATCCAAATTTAAGTTTTTTTGCTGAATCGTGTAGTGTTGGCAACTCCCGTGGGTGTTTTGATAAATATCTGCAAATTTCTTCCTTCTTCGGCATTAACACTATTTAAACCCTTCCTTTTTGAATCGGGCATCTATTAAAGTGGCAATTGTTGCAATATTTCGCTTTTCGTACGGAAAAAGACGTTCGGCCAGCCGTCTATTAATTAATGTCTGTACGGCAGTAGCTATGCCTGACATTGGCTCAGCTGCAATAGCACTCATTTTATGCTTCAGTTCACAAATTGTTGGGATTATTAGCGATATAATCACGGTTTTATCAGCCGATACGATTTCAGTAGCATCATTAAATGGTCGTAATATTTTCGCAAGCTCTTTTAAAATTTTAATTTCCTCTGCCGAAATAGGCGTTGGAGCTTTTAGGGTGTTAAGAAGTACTTCCGAAATGTACTGATTAATCTTGAGTAACCGGTCAATCATCAAGAAGGCACTGTTCCACCTTGTCGGCACCTCTTGAATAACTCCTAGTGGGTTTTCATCACCTTGGACTTCCTTTAATTTCTCATTTGTAATTGTGCTAGATTTGAAATATGTAACAACCCGTTTACATTTATTCAATAAGGGCTGTAGTTCTTTCAATTTTAGTACTTCTTGTAGAATAAGGTTAAGCGTATGCGAAATGCATGGCAAATGTTTCAGTTTTAATATATTTATTTATATATATACATACAAATGTATTTCATGTTTACTTACTTTGTAGATATTTATCCATTGTATGCATCCACGTTACATCCACACTTCTTGCCAACACCACTACTTCCAAAACTATTACATTTATAAAGGAAAATATATTAAAACCCAATTAATAAATCAGAAAACTGGGACTTACATTTTTCTTGCTGCTAGTTTGCTGTCGAATTTCCAAAAAGTACCCGATTATCGATATTGGCAAATAAAACATCGATGTTTTCGATATTGCCCAAATATCGATACATCGATGTTAACATCGATGTTTTTTCCAGCTCTACAAGTGAGCATATCCGAAAAAAAACCGCTGGTCCCAACTCATTGGTTGGCGTGAAAGCCCATCTGATGAGCTTCAAGTTTTTCGGTTGAACACGGTTACCTACGGCACAGCTTCTGCACCATTTCTTGCAATTCGGTGCTTACAGGAGCTAGGAGTTCGTCATTAAGACATTATCCCGATAGATGCAGAGGTTGTTTGCAATGACTTTTATGTCGACGATATGCTCACTGCATAATACAGATGCTAACGAATATGAAAAATCGGTGAATTTTAATGATTCCGATTCAACTAAGACCTTCGGTGTGAGGTGAACGCCAAATACTCTCACGTTAAAGAAATGCTTGCCAAATGCAGAATCGAGAGTGCTTATTTTTGGACCGACTCGGAAATCACACAACATTAGATAAATTCGTGTCCTTCATATTCAGATTCATATTTCGATCAGCTGAGAAACGCAGTACTTTGGAATTAAGTGTTAAGGAGTTAAACTTCGCAACGCTTAAGTTATTCGAGCTGGTGCAGCGCTCTGAATTTTCAGAAGTGTTTGCCAAATTAAAAAAGGTAATCTTCTTCAGCCAGGCTTGCAAGCGCTGACTCCATTTATCCAGCAGGATTTAGACTCCGGTAGAAATTTTTCGCTTATTCGGGTCGGAGGTAGACTGCTAAACGCCCTCTTGACTATGAAACAAAGCACCCCATATTGATGCCAAAGTCCTCAGCGTTTGTCGCAATGTACTTTCGAGAGCTACACATAAACAAGAGAGAAGGCTACAGTCGAGCAAGCCCGACCGTGTAATACCCTTTACCCAGGTAAACTTACCTCACTGAGTTATATGCGCCCATAGCAGCAGCAAAAAGAGGAAGAAGAAGAGCGAACTTGTTGCTGTAGTTTGGTGGGGTTGCACTGGCGAGAATTTGTTTTGCTAATAACTTTTCTTAGAATTGACCGAATTAAATCAAATTTTGAACAACAGTAGACAATTATATATAAATTATGTGTGCAAAGTTTGGTTTAGGTAGCATTTGAAATGTGGACGCTATATACCCTGTACCCGTAGGTTAAAAAGGGTATATTAGGTTTGTGCAAAGTATGTAACATGCAGAAGGAAGCATCTCCGACCCCATAAAGTGTATATATTCTGAATCAGCATGATGAGAGAAATCGATCTAGACATGTCCGTCCGTCCGTCTGGATGAACGCAAGGATCTCAGAAACTATAAAAGCTAGAATAACCAAAGTTGGTATCCAGTTTCTCCTGGGTCCAAGGGTCCAAGGAAAGGACGAGTTAATTTTTTCTTTTTGAATTTTTTCCCCCCTCCCACGCTACAGAATTTCGTCAATAACGTCCACATTTCAAATGCTACCTAAACCAAACTTTGCACACATAATTTATATATAATTATCTACTGTTCTTTAATTTTTAATTTTATCCAATTCTAAGAAAAGTTATTAGCGAAACAAATTCTCTCCAGTACAACCCCCCCCCCCCTCCCCTCCAACTGCAGCAACAAGTTCGCTCTTCTTCTTCCTCTTTTTGCCTCTGCTATAGGCGCATACACCTCAGTGTCGGAAGTTTACCTGGGTACACGGTATTTCACTATCGGGCTTGCTTGACTGTAGCGTTCTCTCTTGTTCAATTTAATTTTCTGAAGTCTATCACTAATATTTTCTTTTTATTCCCATGTTCGTCTGTTCCTTTCTTGCGAACGACACATACGGGGTTGTTGTATGGTGACCTTGATGGTCTGATTATGCCATTCTTGAGCAAATCTCGCATTTCGGAATTTACAAAGTCTGCTACGCCCATGGGATATGGATACAATTTAGAATAGATGGGGTCCTCGTTCTCAGTTCGGATAGTGCCGGCTATGTTTATGTTATAGGGTAAAGCCTGATTAGGGTCCGCAAATACATCGGTTCGGTTCTTTAACAGTTCCTGGAATTTCAATGTAATCGGTTGGGGAACTTCAATATTTTCAACTTTTGTGAAATTTACACTTTGTATTTTTTCTGATTCCGTGTCAGTTCTTAATCTTTGGTTTTTGAAGTCTAGTTGTACGTTTGTTTGTTTTAGTATGTCAAGTCCGAACGGTAGCAGGGAGTTGTGCCTAAACAAGAAAGAATTTCTAAAGTCGAGCGAGCTCAACTCTTAAATACCCTGTGCCTCCCCCCAAAACGAAAAAAAAACAAGTAAAAAAGCTAAAGTCGGGTGTCCCGACTTTGAAATACTCTGTACATATGTTTACAATAATTATAGAAAATAAAAAAATTAAGAAAATAAAAGAAAAAATTTGATCGATTTTACCTCTCTCGGTATTCGAACTCACGTAAAGGGTGTATAATTGCACATTTACATAGCAATTGCGTCTGTGTGAGTGTATGTATGCCTATGCGCATCTATTCGTGTCTGTGTAAGCATTTTCGCAGTCAACCAAACAGCAACATCAACAACAGCCGCGGGCAGCGCTTGAGCAGCGCTGCAGCAGCAAATATATTTATGGCTATAACTTCTTGTTAAATCGGTCTATCATAATGAAATTTGGCATACGGACACATAATAACCAACTGGGGGTATTTCCAAAATTTTAGTTCGAAATTCCAAGAATTACGGGAGTTACGATTTGCGTGGAAGAGGGGGGAGGGAGGGGAATTCCAAAATATACATTTTCTGCGTATTCACATAAGGCATCTGGGACTAAAATTTGGTGTTCCTAGGTCTTATAGTCTCCGAGATATAGGCGATTATACGAATGGAAAATCGGGAAAACCCCCATAGGGGGGAAGTGGGGGGGAAAATCAAAAAAATAAAACAAACTCGTATAGAATACACACATAACGCATCTTTGTGCAAAATTTGGTGTCTCTATCTCTTATAGTCTCTGAGATCCAGGTGTTCATACGGACGGACAGACGGACAGACAGACAGACAGGGCTAGATCGACTCGTCTCGTCATGCTGATCAAGAATATATATACTATGTGGGGTCTGCCACGCCTCCTTCTGCCTGTTACATTTTTCAGCTCCCGCAAACCTAATATACTCTTGTACATTTCATGTACAGAGTATAAAAATTTAAATGAATTTTAAAATTATATTAATTAAATTATTAAATTAAATTAAATACAAATTATTCAATTCATATTTACGATAGTGCAGACATGTTCATGTACAGTTTCAACAGCATATATTTACATCAGAATCGTGTCTCTGCGTGTTTATATGCGTCTACAAAGTTGAACCAAAGCAGCAGCTGCGGGCAGCGCTGCAAGCATAGTATGGGCACCACAAACTGGATGTATATGCCAAATTTGAGTTCAAAATTCCAAGAATTACAGGATTGGGGGGTGTATCAGACAAAAAAATACAAACTCATTCTGCCTAGGGCTTGGGGAAACCTGAATGCCAAGTTTGGTTATCCTAGCTATTGCACTTGTTGAGATCGTTGCGCTCATACAGACAGACGGACGGACGGTCGGACAGACGGACATAGCTATATCGACTCGACTTGTCACCCTGATCAATAATATATACACTTTATGGGTATGCCACGCCTCCATCTATGTGTTACATACATTCGCACAAAACCCTATTACAAGTTTTGGGTACAGGCTATAAAAATTAACCTGGTCGTACACTACAAGTGCATCTATAATGTCATCTGCCTCTAGGTTTGCGTCAGTCTGGCATTCAAAAGTGTTGGGGTCAAATAGAGAGTAATCTTGGGTCAAATGATTCATTCTTTGGCGTTTTGGTCCCGTAAACCGTTCAGTGCCACTGCTTGGTCTTTTGTCAGCCTGTCCCTGGTGGTTAGTATTACCCTGGTTTTTATACTGCATGATTTGTCTAAACCTTAATGAATTGCTACGTCCATAGGTCGAGATTGTTTTTGTCTCTGAGGAGGTCTGTTAAGAGGTGCCTGTCGTTTACTAAAATGCGGATTTTTTTATTTCCAATATTGTGTTATTACCGTTTTCCCCTGCCGGCATCCTGTCTCTGGCTTGTTGCCTATGTTCGTTCCTTTGGGCCCTTTCCTCTATACTTCTTGCATAATTACTGGCGAACGTGTAGCGTTGGGCCAGAGCCAAAGCGGAAGGAAGATCTTTCGGTGCTGCCGAAAACAAAACATTGCTCAATGATTTCTTAGTTCCTGAAATGAACACTCGTAAAGCGTCCATTCTATACTTTTCATTCAGTGCGACAGCTATGGTGTTGTCGTAGGTCATGATCGTTTTGTTCGTTAATAGCGTAAGTTTCTTTTCTACTTCGTCGTAGTACTGTAGGAGTGTGAAATTTCCCTGTTGGAGTGTCGACATTTCTTGCTCCATTAAATATATGGGGCGTTTGTCCGCATACGTAGTCAAGTCGATTTATAATCGCTTTAAAATTTAGAGGCGTGTCGAATGATGCTAGTACCATGTCAGCTCATGTTCCTCATGTTTTCCTTCAAAGTCCGGGAAAGATTTCACTATGTCTAATTTTTCACTACACTTAATCGTTATACGAATTTCTGCGTCCTTGTATTTCTCTACTTCTGGAGCCCCAACACAGACACTGCCTAAACGCTGGTTCATATCCTGTATCTGGACCAAAAATGCACATCTAATCTTGCTTGCAAACAGACGTGTTTTTTTTATCGCTCCGATCAAATCTTTAATTTGTAAAGTTCTATGGGACATTTTACGCCCTTAGTGAAGTTACAGTGAAACTTGAAACTGTTCGTGTCAAATTTAATTAAAGGCATTAATAATAATAACAATAATAAGAATATTCGCACGAAAGCATTTTTCAAGCGCGCAAAATTATACATACAAATAGAACAATACCAACACTGAAACACTGAGTCATACTCTCACAAATACTCTCGCATCAGCGTTCAACAAATCACTCAATAAAATACAAACCGAGAAATCGAATTTCGAACTACACTAAACAACATGGCACCGCAACCAAACAAACGTGCACGTGAAAACACCAGCACCAGCCGGAAGCTGTTTCATCGAAGATAATGGCAATGATGAATTTGCGTTTTGAAGAGCAGGACAGCCTCTTCACCACTCATATGGGAGATACTGAGCAGCGCATCCTCAACGTGGTGCTGGAGCGGTTCGATCGCATGGCTGATGAACTGAAGCAGCTACATGAGCGTGTGAATAACATTGAACGCGAGGTTGAAGAGCTGTCCTCTTTGAGGGAGCGGGTGGGTGTGCTTGAGACGAAGCTCGCTGCGCAGCTCGATGCCGCCAATGCCGCTTGCGACTTGCGTGTACAGGTGGGTGACCTGAAATCCAGATTAGAATATCAGCTTTCTAAGCAGGAAAACGCAGATATAGCAAATAACTTGCGTTTCCACGGTTGAAATAAATCTATCGGGTTAAGCAAAGCAGGACCAATAATTCCATTGTTGATCCGGTGATAATAATTAGACTCGAACATATGCGAGATTAAACTTCACTTTTGCGGGCAATTGGCACATACCGGCGAGAAACTCAACAACAACTAAACTTGCTGCTCCTAGGTTTTGACTCGCCAACCCCAATTTAGATAAATGTGCAACTAAGCAAACGAAATTATGATATTTTTAAAGAGGCAATGAAAATGAAGAGACAGAAGTTGCTCTTACCAGTATTTACTCGCCGCGCATTAGTGCATGTTAAAACACCTACTTGCGATACAGTTGTTCGTGTTGAGGGCATGCAAACGCTCTTGGCACTGCAGAATAACTGCATAAAAGCTTTAACCCCCCTTGCCGTGCCATCGGCTGAGACGGACGGCGTTGG